GTCCATTGAAGACCCCTGCTTCCCTAATCATGTGGAACATGATAGGTTTTAGTTCAAAATTTGGTGCTACAGGGGGAAGGATTACTCCCCTATCTGGTTTGTTCCTGAAAGGAGCAGCCAAAGTTCTGAAGTTCTGTTCAGGGGGAACCTCTTCATTGTTATTATTGTGATCAGCCATGTTTTTAGGAAATCCTTCCCTAAGGTTCCTTCTTCTCCTATGGAGTGTACGTTCTGGCTCAGGATCAAAGAGAAACTCAAGTACTTTAATGGAGTGGTTTGAGTCTGTTTCAAAGTCTTCACTCATAAACCAATAGCACAGGGTATATATATGCACAGCAGATTCAGTGATAAAGAGAAAAAAAATATAAAAGTAAAGTCAGATATACAGTATATGTGTTAGAAAACAATGATAAGAACAACAATTAGTGTTTCTGTCCCCGGCAACGGCGCCAAAAACTTGTTGGGTGGTTTGCAGATGGTGGAAAAATATAAGTTCGGATAGGGAACGTTCCTCTGTTCTTGCAGAACACAGATTCATCCCTGAGTTCCAACCCAAGTGCGCAAGTGCACGCATCAAGCAATAAAGGGAGTATTAATGCCAAAATTATCGTTCCCACGAGGATAGAGTGCTAATTACTGTTTTATCATTGTTTATAAAGAGTGAAAAAGAGAAGAAAAGTTAGTAAATGAACTGTCTGGTCAAACGTTCCCTACTATCTTGACAACGTTCCTCAGGAACAGTAAGTTCAATATGAGGGCAAACAGTTGCTCGCTGCGTTATGTATGTGATCCTTCCTGTTTAGAAGAAGGTGAGATAACAATCATTGGAGTTTTTATATGTAATAAATAAAATAAAATAAAACTACGAAAACAGAAATAACTATAATCAAGAGACAACAGGGTGGTGGTTAAAACAGTTTAACTGAAGGAACAGATTCACTGCTTCACTCTTAAAGGGGATGTTTTCTCTGTTCAAGACTTAGCACCTTTTGGCTTTGTCCCAGTTTCTTCGCCTGCCAACTCTGATTCCTCAGCTCATAGTCTAGATGGCTCACAAGTTTCCATATTCCTATGGCTCCCTTGACTCCAACAGGTACATAGTTCAGAACCTTAAAATAGACGAGTTGGCCCCTTATTCCTAAGGTGACTAGTAGCGTTTTTGCCATGACATCTACCTTCCCCCAATGGCTAAGCTGTCTGAAATCCCTTCCTTATGGAAGTTCCTTTCTCAGTATGTACCTAATTTAAATTGGCGCACAATGAATATAGCTTACTTAGCCAAAGAAATACAAAAAGCTTCGGTCAAGAGTTTTGAAAACAGTTCTTTAAGAGTTTCACAGTTTACGCATTCCACAGATAGTTCAGCTCATGGCTGATAGTTTAAACATAATTATTCTCAACTGAGATCACATAGACTCGAGATTCAGCCAAGAGATAACGATTGGAACGAAGAGAAAAACACTTATATTAATTTAAAAGACAGTTTACAAAAAGAAACAGAAAATGGAGAAAGATGGGTATTTTCTCGTGAGGAGTATTGATGGTTGTTTACAGAGAAGAGAAAAGGGGTTGTCACTTAACTACAGTTACAACTAAAAATTAAACTAAGTTACTAACTACTACTAAGTGATCTCTTCCTTTCGGACTGCAAACCCTCCAGGATTCGATGATGTTTTTGTGTGAGGGTGGTTCTATTTATAGCTGGAAGAGGAGTGGCAAGACTGTAATTCCCTTGGAGCTAGTTGCTTGAATGAGGGGACGGGACGGTGGCAGCAAAGTGTGAAGCTTGCGTGACTTGTTGAATGGAACAGGGTTTGGTGATGATTAGCCGTTGTTTGCAGACCTTCCCATGTTTTGCTTCTGTTTTCAGCCAATGAGAACTCTTGATTCTCTGCTCTTCACGTTCCCTGCTGCTTAGTTGGTGCATCGCCTTGCTTTTTAGAAGTCTTTAACTCTACGTTACCTGCAAAGTGTACAGAAGCATTAAATGAATTGAGCGGGTGAATTAAATGTGTCTCAGTCCGTTCCCCTTTTAATATATTTTAAAGGAATACGTTACCATCCTTTCCCCCACTGTGTTTTTGTCGCAAATGTGTAAAACAAGTGATTTTCATGCTGAAGTTGCTCATCAGATGAGGGAACATATGGTATTTTGCCCTCAAAATGGGTTTAGATGGGAACAAATTTACGTACCATCAGTTCTCAACCCTGCCCGCTAACTTCATTGGATCTTTTGAAGAATTCAGAGAGAAATTTCTGCTGAATTTTGCAAGAAGCAAAAAACACGCAAAGTCCGAGTTCGCACTTGGAAATATACGACAACAATCTGGAGAAACCCTCCAGAGGTATCTTAACCTGTTTAAAGATGTGGCCTTGCAAGTTCCGGGTTTGCAGGAAAACGTCCACGTCCACCTCATCGTGCCCGACCTGGATGGATCGTCTAGACTAGCTAAATCGGTTTCTAAAGAACCTATGAGGACATTGGAGGAATTCCAGACCCGTTGATAAACATTTGATTTACCATGTTTTTAGGCTAAATTATACAAGAATTATGTAGTAGATTGCATGGAATTCAAGGTTTTACAATAAATAAGTCTTGAGATAGGAATTTGAGCTAACGTTTTGAAGTTCTTTGCATTTTTAGGATAAAACCACACTTATTGGTGCTAAAAAGTAATTAAGAACTCATGACAAACAAGTTGCATCTCAAAATAGATCAAAAGAAGCCAAAATATTACAAGTCATGGGCCATAACAGGACGCTCGAGTGCACAGAATGGACGCTCAAGCGCGTTCTGGCAGGGAAAACAGCTAAGCTGAGTAACCCAGGACACTCAAGCGCCCAAGAAGAGAAGAGTTCACCCTCGAGGAGCACGCTCGAGCACACATATGGACGCTCGAGCGTGTGAAGGCAGGCAGTAACATCAAATTGAAGCACAACAGCACGCTCAAGCGGCCAGTAGCGTGCTTGAGCGCCCAAACACGCACCAGACAGCCAAGATTTAATAAGATTTAATGACATCTGCCAATGGATACCAGATTGTGATATCTGGAATTAAAGCAGAAATATATCAATCTTGATGTATGGAGATCCATGGGAAGATTCGATGAAGGATAATAACAAAGATTTGAAGCTCAAATCTGTCACTCAATCTGCAAGAGTCCAAATAAAAAAGGGAAGCAATTAGGGAATCGATGACAAATTTGATAGAGAATCATTGAGAGATTCGATGAAGGGTACAACTTCAATGCTTATACATAAGGAGCTGAGGATCAAGACCAAAACACCAATTAACAAGTCCAGAGAATTACATAGAGACCTGAAGGAGGAATCCTGTTGCGGAGCGCTGGAACACTGAGGAACCAAGTCAACATCACACCAATGGAGGCTTGGGGTTCTTTTTAATTTATTATTGTTTTGAATTCAGTATGCTAGGCTAGACTTTTATGTAGTTAGGGGTAGATGGAACCCAATTGAATCGTTTATGTTTATGGATTAAATTGTTTTTGAATTCTTTTCTTTTTATAATTGAATAAATTTATCTGTCTTTAATGCTTTCTATAAGTTTTCTCCTTATAGATTGATTTAAGGGAATTGTATGATAATACGGATGTTGGTGCATGAACCCTGACTTGGTAAGTTTATCAAAATCCTTGTGATCTAGGGATAGACATAGGGTAATTGTGCAATCTTTAAATTCTTGATCTTAATGCATGTTTTCTTGGGGAATAATCGGGGAACTAGAGTTCTTTCAAGATCACATAGATTTAGGGTAACAAGGAATTCAGCCCTGATTAACTTAGACAGAATTGATTTGCATTATATTAAGAAAAGGTTCTTGACTGTTTAATTCATAACATAACGAGAGATTGGGGGAAGTCGAAACCTTAACTACGCTTGTTTTAATTTCTTAATCAGTCATCATCTTTTCCAATTGTTTCTTTTTAATTCTGAATTTTCTTTAATTGCATGTTATTACTTGTTTTTAATTTTCAATTTCTCCAAATACAATTCTCTTCATCCAATTCTTGATTGTCCAACTAAAACGCGATTAGCGAACTAGTGCTTGAAAATCCGATCCTCGTGGGAACGATCTCTTACTCCAGTACACTTTATTACTTTACGACCGGTGTACTTGCCGAGTCGCAACAAGTTTTTGGCGCCATTGCCGGGGATTGGATCCTTCAACATTAGAAGTAACTAATTACCTTTTAGATTGGAAGTTTTAATTTTCTGCATTCTTTTTCTATTTTGAATTTTCTATTTTCTGTTTTGCATTTTCTATTTTTTTCTGCACATCTTTTCAATCTTAGTTTATGCGAGGTACTCTTAACCCACGAATCTTGCAGTTTGATCCTGAGATAGAAAAGATAGAAAGGAAACTCAGAAAGAGTGCAAAGGAAAGGAAGGCTAAGGAAGCAAAAGAAGCCTCAAGTTCAAGGAAACTAAAGGAGGAAACAATGGCTGACAACAATGCAGTTCAGAACCCTCCAAGGACGTTGGGAGATTACAAAACCCCAGCTCGAGTTCCTCAGACAACAAGCATTGTTAGACCAACCGTGGATGCTAACAACTTCAAACTTAAGCCAGCACTGCTGCAATTGATCCAAAAAGATCAGTTCGCTGGAGGAAGCACGGAGGACCCTTATATTCATCTTGATAACTTCTTGTTTTTCTGTGATACTTTAAAGATGAATGGAGTCTCATGTGACGCCATCTTGCTCAGACTATTTCCATGCTCACTAAAGGATGACACAAGAGCTTGGCTGCAGTCACTTCCTGAAGGAAGCATCACCCACTGGGACGACTTAGCAATGAAGTTCTTGGCCAGATTCTTCTCAGCTTCAAAGATGGCAAAACACAAATCAGAGATCACTGCTTTTGAACAAAAAGAAAGTGAATCTTTGTATGAGGCATGGGAAAGGTTTAAAGGACTACTCTGAAAGTCTCCCCAACATGGCATTGAAGCATGGGAGAGACGAAGAATTTTCTTCCAAGGAATGACGCCAAGCACAAGAACACTGGTGAATGCTACAGCAAGAGGATCGTTGAAAACAAAAACTCCAGAGGAAGCATTGGAATTGTTGGAGTCTTTAGCTTCTCAGGAGTATGACAATGCTCCAGTCACACAAAGGAGAGCGGGAATCATGAAGCTCAACGGATATGATGCAATCTTGGCTCAGAATGAACAAATACTGCAAATTAATAAGAAACAACAAGAACAATTAGATGCTCTTACAAAGCAATTTAATCTTTCTCAAGTTTCTTCTGTTAGTAATTCTCAAATTGTTTGTGGTATTTGTGCAGATGCTCATGCAACTGAAGAGTGCGACTACATGAGCACAACTGAAAAGCCACTAGCGGAGGTCAACGGTATCTGGTATGATCAAAAAAACCATAACAACTCAGGGAGGAACCAATATGGGAATAACTATAATCAAGGGTGGAAAAATCCTAATCAACACCCTGGGTTTAGTTACAAGTCTAACCATCAGCTGAATCCTCCTCTGCCACTGCAACAACAACCCCCACCACAAGGCAACACTTCAGAGTGGGAGAAAGCTTTTGCACAGCTGTCCAAGACCACATCAGACTACATTCAGAATGCAAAAGCCTTCAGAGATGAAACAAAAGCTTCATTCTGGAATCAAGAAGCTTCTATCCGGAATTTGGAAACTCAGATTAGCCAGTTGTCAAAACAATTTACTGCAAGAACTCATGGCACCTTCCCAAGTAACACTGACACGAACCCAAATGCACAATGTAATTCAATTGTCACCAGAAGAGGGATCGTGATTCAACCTGTGATAAAGCCGCAAGTTGAAAAGAAAAAAGAAGCTGAACCTGAAGCTGAAAAAGAAAAAGAAGAAGATGCGGGAGAAGCTGAAAAGAGCAGTCCAGAAAAAAAGTTGTTCAAATGGGAGAAAAAGAAAGCTTTGGACAGGCAACCGAAGTCAGCAAATCCATCTCCCTATGCACGAGTTCTATACCCTCAGCGGTTGAAACAAGAGATCCAGAAACAACAATACACCAAATTTCTGGACATCTTCAAGAAGATGTAAGTGAACATTCCGTTCGTAGAAGCCCTGGAAAGCATGTCGAACCATGCGAAATTCATGAAAGACCTTCTGTCAAAGAAGCGCAAGATGAAGGAATGCGAAACAGTGGCCCTGATTGAGGAATGCAGTGCAATCAACCAAAAGAAACTCCCTCCCAAGCTGAAAGATCTGGGAAGTTTCAATATTCCTATAGCCATAGGAAATATTGAAGTAGGAAAAGCATTATGTGACCTGGGATCGAGTATAAATCTGATGCCACTGTCCATGTGCAGAGCTCTTGGAATTAAAGAACTAAAGCCAACTACGGTTTCTCTCCAGTTGGCTGATAGATCGATCAGACGACCAAATGGGGTAATTGAGGATGTCTTAGTTAAAATTGACAAATTTATCTTCCCTGCAGATTTTGTAATTCTGAATATGGAAGAAGATGCCGAGATTCCCCTATTGCTTGGAAGGCCTTTCCTAGCCATCGCAAGAGCAATGATCGATGTGGAGCAAGGGAAACTGATGCTGAGGATGAATGAAGAAACAGTCACCATTGACGTCTTTGAATCAATGAAACACCCATCAGATGGAGGAGACTGCTTCATGATTGACATAATACAAGAAGCAGTTGATGACACGATAAAAGAGGAGAGTTCCCCACTAGAGTTAGAACAAATCAAATAAGGAGCTAAATTTGCTGATAAAGAACCAATGGTGGAAGAACTAGAAAGAAAGAAAGATGACATCCCTCTTGGAGCACCGCAGGTGGAGCTTAAGGAGTTACCTCCAAATCTGAAATATGTTTTCCTTGGTGAACAACACTTACCCAGTCATCATTAATGTCGAACTGTCAACCGTGGAAGAAGAAAAGCTTCTCAAAGTGTTGAAGAAGCACAAGGCTGACATTGGATGGTCCTTCTCTTATTTAAAAGGTATAAATACTTCCTTTTGTACTCATAAAATTTTAATGAAAAATGATATAAACTTGTGAGGCAGCCACAAAAGAGACTCAATCCAACCATGAAAGAGGTGGTAAGGAAATAAGTAGTTAAACTGTTGGATGCAAGGATGATCTACCCTATATCTGATAGCGCATGGGTAAGTCCTGTACAAACTGTACCCAAGAAAGGTGGAGTCGTCGTGGTAAGAAATGAAAATAATGAGCTGATTCCAACAAGGACAGTCACCAGGTGGAGGATGTGTGTTGACTATAGAAGACTTAATGCAGCCACTCGGAAGGACCACTTCCCAATTCCTTTCTTGGACTAGATGTTGGAAAGACTAGCTGGCCATGCCTTCTACTCCTTCCTGGATGGGTACTCGGGTTACAACCAAATAGCAGTAGCTCCAGAAGATCAACAAAAGACAGCATTCACATGCCCTTGCAGAGTCTTCGCTTACCGGAGGATGCCCTTCGGCCTGTGCAACGCTCCGGCAACTTTTCAAAGGTGTATGCTTTCTATCTTTTCTAATATGATTGAGAAATCCATTAAGATCTTCATGGATGATTTTTCTATTTTTGGTCCCTCTTTTGACACTTGCTTAGAAAATTTATCATGTGCTTTACAAAGATATCAAGAGAGTAATCTTGTTTTAAATTGGAGAAAATGCCACTTTATGGTGAAAGATGGCATTGTTTTAGGACGCAAGGTGTCCAAAAAGATGGTATAGAAGTTGATAGAGCTAAAATATCTGTTATTGAGAAACTTCCCCCGCCCTCTAATGTTAAAGGTATTCGAAGTTTTCTCGATCATGCAGGTTTTTACAGACGTTTTATCAAGGACTTTTCCAAGATAGCAAAACCATTATGCAAGTTGTTGGTCAAGGATAAAGAATTCAACTTCACGGATGAGTGTTTAGTTGCATTTAATATTTTAAAAGATTGATTGACCACTGCACCTATAACCACTGCACCTGATTTCACTTTACCATTTGAATTAATGTGTGATGCTAGTGATTATGCCATAGGAGTTGTCTTAAGACAAAGAAAGAATAAACTGTTGCATGTAATTTACTATGCAAGTAAAAATTTTAATGATGCACAAATGAATTATGCTACCACTGAAAAAGAATTACTAGCAGTAGTCTATGCATTTGATAAATTTAGACCGTATTTGTTGGGGTCTAAAGTAATTGTTTATACTGATCATGTTGCTTTAAAGTATCTGTTGAATAAGCAGGATGCAAAACCACGCTTGCTCTTATGGATGCTGCTCCTTCAAGAATTTGAAGTAGAGATTAGAGACAAGAAAGGAGTAGAGAACTTGGTGGCTGATCACCTATCCAGGATCCAAAAAAAAGATCTTCAAGATGGAGGAAGTAAAGAGCACAAGTACACCTCCATGGTTCGCGAATTTCACGAACTTCAAAGTAGCAGGAGAAATTCCAGTAGACTTCAAATGGCAACAAAGAAAGAAATTTCTACATGATGTCAAGAAATACCTATGGGATGAGCCCTTCCTTTTCTACAGATGTGCTAATGGAGTAATAAGGCGGTGCATTCCGGAAGATGAGATGAAAGACATCTTGTGG